AATATAAAACACCGTAAGTGCCTAAATTTTTAAGGAAATGTAACGGGCCAACAGTACCAGCTGAAGGCTGTCTTCTCTGTATGCTCAACTGAAAAAGTCAGACCTTGCCCAGCAACTCATAAAGCTCGCTCTTGAGGTAGCCCCAACTCATAAGGTATTAACTGTCTATGGTGTTAGTGAGGTCCTGAAACAAAAGGACCTAACCCTCAACAATAACCTCTAGAGCAAAAGATGTTTAATACAGGTCACATATGTAATTCTATATTTTCTAGTAGCCACATTTCAAAAAGTAAAAAGAAACAAGTGAAATTAGTTTTAATAGTATTTAACTCATTATATACAAAATATTATCATTTACTATGTGTCAATAGCCACATTTCAAGTGCTCAACAGCTACAAGCTACATGTAGACTTCACGACCCTAGAGCCATATTTAAAAAAAAAAAAATTGCCAGAAGGTATGCGAGTTCACTGGAGAGAGGAAATGAGAAAGCATCCCCCATGGGGAATGAATGATCACATCACAATCTCTTCACTTCTGTCTCTCCCTTGTTTCAGGATATTGGGAAGGTAGGCACATGCATCTGGCATGTTTCTGGAGTCACCAGGCCCCAGGACTTGAACCACGTAATCAGCCATATGCAGATCCAACCACTTTAACCACCATACCATGGGATGGCCCGAGTCACATGTAGTTTAGGCACAATACAAGTATTCATAAATAAAAGCAGATTCTTTAAAAGTCTTTCACCATAACCACCTCGCAAAAGGCAAGAGAATCATGAACAATGTTTATGGTTAAATCCATACATTGCAAAGTCTCAATGGTCTCCAAAACCTTCCAGGGCCTGAGATAAACTAATCCACCAGACTCAAGTATTTCCTTCCAGAAAGGACATTAGTCTTGCCCTCCCACTTTCCTTTGTTCCTGTTTCTCTCCTTGACATTCTGAGTTCAAAGCTTACCTCCAATTTCATACTCAAAAGCTCCCAATCACTAGCTTCTTTTCATATTAAGTGCTCATCAATGGAAATTCACCTAACATTAAGCCCAGAAAGGAAACAAGAACTGAAGTACAAGTTTCCTTTAAGAATGTAATTAAGGGATCAGCAGATGGCACAGTGGTTATGTTTCTGAGGAGCACACCCACCCTAAGGCAAAAACCTCTTTTTTAAAAAAAGAATGCACTTAATATGACAGCCTAAAGACTGGCTAATCTTACCAGCTGTTGTCTTTAAATGACCAACAGTATCACTAAAGGCTACTTTATCATGTAGTTCCACTCTCTAAGAACAATGTTACATGTGTTATATGTTTTGTTTCACTTGATTTTTACAACTTTCTAAGGTTGAAATTATCTGCTCTCCCCCAGTCCCATCTTCCAGATGGAGGAGGAAGGCTTAGAGATGCCAAGTAACTTGTCCATGATTATACATTTATTGTGGTAAGTAGCGGAACTGGATACTAAACAAATCTGATACCATGTCTGAGTAGTAGCCATTTTGCCATAATACTTTCTTGATACATTTCTGACTAGGACAACTAAATAGGGTTCCCCATAACCATTTATCTCTCTGTAAATGATGAAGTCAGGCAACTAACAAGTAAAGCAACACTTTAGGATCTTCAGGAAGCCTGTTTGATGTACTGGAGCTTTTGTACTACCGAAAGAATCACCTACCTAGGAATTCAATTCCATCACTACAGGAAAAGGAACTTTTCAATAAAGTATTTGTTGTGATTTCTGCTCATCCATTTTCCTAACTTTCCCACCGATAAGTAATCATTAAAAATCAATTTCAAATATAGTGCTGTAAAAATATTGAGAAGGAATTCCCCCATTTTAATAATCCAATTACTAAATTAATTAAAATTCACATACTTTAGTCTAAGAGTCATCTTTTTATTGTTTAAAACATATACAGAATAATCTAGTTTTTTTAAAATAAAGTTTTAAAATGTCTACTCTTTCCTATTCTCTTTGTAAATAACACTTTAATACACTGTACCCACACAACAGCGAATAAAGTTTATTTCAGTAGATGCTACCTAATTTATTTAATTTAAGTAAGTTAATATAATGGGAGAATGAACTGCTATTGCTAGAAAGTTTGCATCAATTTTTTTTTTTTAATGTTTTTGCTATGGGATGCATGCACTTTCTGTCCCCAGTGGGGATGTTTTTGCCACAATGTCCTCCATTCTCCTCTTAGGATTTTGGGCATACACAAACACATGCTCAGTGTGTTTCTCAAGTTGCTGGGTCGGAGACTCAAACCACCTAGTCAATTATGTAGGATCCAACAACTTAGCCACCATACCACCTGGTGGCCCAGTTTGCTCCAATTTTTAACCTACTTAATCTACACAAAGTATAGTTCAAGTCTTCTGTGTTAATTTTAGCCAAGCACCACTACCACTAATGATATCCAGAGAGAGATTATAATTACTTTTACTTGCACTGTTTTTCCCCATGGCTGTACATATTAATTTCTACTAGTCTACAGACACAGATGTGTATTTGAAATAAATTAATGGATATATTTTAAATCTTTTTTCTATTTATTAAGTAGAAACATACTATAAAAGGAGCAAGCACAAGTTATTATAAAGAAAGGAACTACTGCATTTTTAAGAATTATGATTATTCAATTATTCAAGTTGGCATTTTTCCAGTGCCAACAATACGGTCTCTTTTTAATTGTAACACAGCTGCTATGTTTGGGTGTGACATTTTATTACTGTTAAGGAGAAGCATGACTTTATTTTAAAGGTTCTTAATTCAAAAGTTTCCTTCTATATGGTAAGAATTGCTACACTAAAATATAAAAAGCAAAAAATAATAATAGTAACCCTCAACAGTGCCAAAATCTGTTTTCTTAGGAACAATTTTCACAAGTTTATATTCTAGAGATGACTTCATTACCTTATAAAACAGCTTCCTAATATAAGAGCTACTAGCCCAAAGAAATGTTTCTGTTGCTAAGAGGATTACAGTTTAAAATAACCAAAAATCCAACTGAAACCACAAGTCCTAATGTTCTGAGGTTCCAGGACTCAGTCAAAGAAATTAGTCTCCAACAACAGTGACAACAAAAATCAAGATCTCGGGCAGCAGAGAAAAGCAGAACTGCAGAGAAGAGGTGAGGTGATGTATCATGAAGTAATGAGGTCATCAGCCACTTTCTCCACAAAAATCCCTGAGATAGCAGAGCTTGGAGTTATGTGCTACCTTGGCCCTCTCTTCTTGTTCCCTTACTTGGACTCATAAACTCTTTAAGACATCATCAATCTTCTCCAGAACTAACTAAGCCTTCAGGAGATGAGAGGAGTGTAAGTTCTTGGATCCTGGCTTCAAGTAAATATCCCTATTAACAGAAAATAGGTGCGGAGAGGGGAGGAGGGGAAGAAAAAGAAATAAGGGAAGAAAATTACTTACAAACATGTAAATGTGGGAGGAAGTAGGGAAAAAAAAATGACAATTAGGCCCAGAAAAAAGTATCGCTGGCACCACAAACTCAACTGACTTAATGGGAAAGTGAAGTTGTTCACCAGTTCACAGATGGATTAGCTCTTCCTTTTCTACACTTTATATCCCAGAGACAAGGATGGGACAAGTATAGCAGCCCAGTGTAATTACCTTAACAAAATTAAACCAGAAAGTTAAACTCTTATTTGCAACTAAGTACTTAAGTATGCATTTAGAGAAAGATAAACTCTGAAACATCTTACAAGCAAGTCACAAGTTATCATATTTATATTTATCTGCCCACTCAAACATTTTCTGAGCCTCTAGTAAGTAAATGTCAAAGAAATCAGACACAGCTTCCACCTTTACACGTTTGACAGTCTAGCATGTAAAGTAAGGTGTGACAAAACACACATATACACTTCCACATGGAACATGTAAAGTTTTAAAAGTGAGATAATGATTGTGCACCAAGTTTTACATAAAATTGGGCGATGGACTCCCAGGAAGGTTAATAAACAAGAAATGGGGGTGGAGGTATGAAAAATGCTAGTGATAATAGCAACCAACACACAAGAAAGGGCTTTACATTTATCCTTTAATCTTCACAACAATTCTGTAAGAGGTACTATTCTCCCCATTTTACCAAGAAACGTTGAGCTAGGTTAAGAATGTTGCCTAAAGAGGGACAACTTCCAAATAGTGGAGTGGGATTTAATTCCAAGGATCTTGGCTATCAACTCTATTTGTCACATGTAGTCATAACATTATTATTACTAACACAACAGTAATTAGAGATGAAGTGATTAGACCAAGGTTGCAAGGGCCCAAGGAATGTCGATTTTTGGGGGGCAACCAGAGGCAAGTGGTGTAGACCCCCACCTGGTTCATATTATACTTAATTCAAGACTCCAGAAGAAGTAGCTTAGAACAGCAGTCCTGTTAGTAATAATAAACACAACAGCAATTGTGTTAGTAATAACGTGTGGTTGTATAATGCACATCCATGATGTAAATATTTTCATGTTCTTTGAATATTTACATCTCTATATATTTCAAATGAAAAAATAAGACCCAGAGAACCTTTCGTTCCCAAGGGTACACAAGTTAAAGGGTGGTAGAGTCAGGATTTAAATCCAGCAGGTTGGAGATTCTGAGGGCTCTTTTCCTTTTTTCAAAAGATTCATTTAATTTTACGTATTTATTATAATTATTATTATTTTCTAAATTGACCAGAGAGAGAGAGAGAAGGAAAGCGAGAAAGCAAGTCTCCAGGTCTTCGATTCCCAACAGCGACAAACCATGTAGGAGTCCAGTGCCTTAACCACTACGCCGCCTGCCGGCTCTTTTCAAAGCAAGCCACAACCCAGCACCAACTCTTTAACCTCAACCAAGTCAAATCCCATTCCTTCCAGGGGATTGGGAGGTGAGGCACGGGGGCCGGCAGCACCACACTGGCTGAGGCCGCGTTCTACCGCCCCAGCCTCCCGATTCTCCGGACCACCCCCTGCCGGCCGGGCAGGACTCTCACCAGGCGGGAGCCGGGGGACCCTCGCAATCTTGTTAGTGATCTCTGCAGTGAGCACCGCAAAGTCCTGCTCATAGCCTTCGAAGTCGGATGACATGGCAGTTCTGGAGTGATGGTCCCAGGCTGGAGTCTAAGGTCGGGGGAGGGGCCACGCAAAGCAGGGGACCGCGGTTTAGGGACCCCTGACGGGACCCTCTCGGGGAAGATTAGAGCTGAGAACCGGGGACAGCTCCCAGTCCAGCCGCTTCCTGGTTGTCCGTGGAAACCTCGGTCCTCCGGAAATTGACATGCGCACGATTTTTAGATTCCGCTCAAGCTTCAAGATTAAGAAATTCGTTAAGAAAAAACGCCCCAAATAATGCTCCCCAACAACCTAAGAAAATATGCAAATTCTTAAGGATCACCGGAAATGCTCCTCCCCCGACTCCATGTGCTGGGAAACGACTCCCGCTCCCTAAGCTACAGGTAAGAGGAGCTTGCTTCCCAAGGGAAGTATAATGCGGCCGGCGTCCCGGAAGTGGCTCTGACGGAGACTGCGCAGGGAACCTGAGCGGGAGAGTAGCAGCGGGGGCGCTGGCGGAGAGTCGCACGGGTCATTGCAGGTTCCGCACTTTTGCCCCTCCAACCAGGATTTGCTTTCTCCCTCCCCTGGACTGAGACGCCTATGAAGGAGTTATCCGAGGAGGAGAAAATCTGTTCCGGGTGAGCCCAGGCCGACCCCAATATCGATGGCTGAGGAGTGGGCACCAGGGATCACGCTGAGGTGGGAGTTAAGGCAGGGAACGACTGTAACCGTGATTTTGGCGGTCCTCGCCCCACCCGAGTGGGCCACACCCTCTTGAATGTCGAGTGTAACCTCAACTACCAGGTGGTTCCGCCCTTGAGTGAGGATTTCTAAGCGCCCTGCTGCGTGACACGGGGCGCGTGGGGGGCGCGGGGGGTGGGGGGGGAATAAGGCTATTGCGTGAGGGTTTCCCATCCCTCACCCACCCCAGATCTCTTCCCCGCCTTACTCCAGCTCAGCCAGAAATACCTTTCTAAAAATCTCATTCGCCTCGCAGCAGTCCTGCCTTTCCTGTTCCCCAGCTCCCGGCGAGCACTTCCCTTTCTTTTTAACTCACATCTTTGCCTTCGTGTTCATTTTCATATTTTTTTTTCCTATACTCATTCTACACACATACCCTCTCTCTTCTCCTGTCCTCCACTTCCTCTTTGTTTTCACTGTCCTTTGGCCCAGTGAATGTTGATACTTTGGGACAATGATGTATACCGTGTCTGGCTTATTTTTGACTTAATTCAAAACTCGATAAGAGGCAGCATAGAACTCCGGAAACGGAATTTAATGACTTCTATTCTGAGTCCTACTGTTATTTACTTGCGACCTTGGTGTAATCACTTGGCCTCTCTAAGCCAATTTCTGGTCTATGAAGGAAGCTGTATTAGATCCAACCCTTAGGCCCTGATTCCCAGCTTTAATATTGTCTTCTGGAATCATTCACTAAATGAGTCACAGTGCCCTAATTAGTTGGGAAGGAAGGAATTAAAACAGGTCCTTTTGAATCTTATATTCCAGCTTACATGCCATTCAAACTTGAACCATATTTTGAATAAGTTTACAGTAATTCTTTTTTGACATCTGACAAGACACTCGTCTGATAGTTGCGTACTTCTGACATGCTTTTGTTTAGGTGCTTACTGGAATTAATAAATATGGTAGATAATAACATTTTTTACATAACTTTCCCACTTTTTCTCTTTTAGATTGGGATTCAAACCAAGATTTTGGGTTCTTCTAGTTAAGATAAAGAGCTCTGAGTGTTTACCAGTGAAAATGGCATAATCTGCATTAACTCCCACAACTTGAAGGCATGACAATTAAGGAATACACATGGACTTGTGGCACATGGAAATGTGTGCACAGAAAAAGAAAATTTGTAATTCTTTTAAAATTTGTAACTCCTCACCAAAATGGGTACATTCTGCTCAGTTATCAAGTTTGAAAATCTCCAAGAATTAAAGAGACTGTGTCACTGGGGCCCCATCATAGCCCTTGGGGTTATAGCAATATGTTCTACAATGGCCATGATTGACTCTGTGTTGTGGTATTGGCCCCTACATACAACTGGAGGAAGTGTGAATTTCATCATGTTAATTAATTGGACCGTTATGATTGTTTATAATTACTTCAATGCCATGTTTGTTGGTCCTGGCTTTGTTCCACTGGGGTGGAAACCGGTAAGAAAAGTTTCATTACGATGATGAACTCTAGTGATAATCTTATGTTTAGTTTTTGTCTTATGTGCTGGCTAATATTAAACCTGGTCTACTCTTTGTCCTGGTAGAGACTAGGTACTAGGTATATTACTCTAATTTATATTCAGAAATAATTTCATAGCTATTTGAAGATAATGATTCATATTAGCATTCCCTAAAGTAATTTCATTGATTATTTGTCCTGCATCAAAAAATAAAAAATGTGGAGGTAGGGGCTGGGGTGGTTCCATTGTCACAAATTTACAAAATACATATCATATGCCTCCCTCTTATAATTTCACAACGTGATTTGGCACTAGAATTTTTTTTAATATAATATATTAACATTTTTCAGAACTTATTATAGAAAAGCACTTTAGAAACTGCTAGTTTAAATTATAATGTTTTAAAGTCATTGCAGTAAAATTACAATGTTGGGAACTATAGTACAAATCAATTTATAGAAAGTATATGTGTTTGAATGGCCATGTTCCTCAATAAACAAAATCATCTGGTAGTTTGTTAGAAAGGCAGAATTTTGAGTTCCATTGCAGACCTACTAAATCAGAGTCATCTCTCCTTTTTTTTAAAGTTTTTGCAATAGGGCTCTTTGGAGTTAGACAGGGAGGGAAGTGAGAAACCACCCCCTGAGGCATGGGGGTTGGCCACGCCGTAGTCCTTTCTTCTCCATTCTCCTCTAGGGATTTTGGGCTTGAATGCACATGTACCTGCTGTGTTTTTCGTGCTGCTGATCCAGGGCTTGAACTGCCATCAGCCATCACCCATGTGGGACTCCAGTGCCTTAACCACCACACCACCAGCTGGCCCCAGAGTCTTCATTTTTAAGAAAATCCTCAGGTGATTCTTAGGTATGTAGATGTTGAAGAAACACTGATGTGTATATTTACTGTATGTGATATACTATTTTGCCAGGAGCCCTGCTTCAGCCAGTCAACCCACCCCGGCGGGAGCAGGGCTCCGGCACTATTTGAACTGGATATAGAGATAGATAATACATGATTCTTACTACACAAAAGCTTATAACTAAGAAACCAGTGCACTCATTGCAAATAACTGACCTATACAGTAGAATAAATGAATACTATTGAAGGTAGAACTGAATATTTTCATCTAAGGACAAAAGAGGGGAGTAGGAATTTCCACAGGAGATGGGAAAGAGGGCATCTCAGATTAAGAGAATGGTGGAAAGCCTTGAGTGACTGAGAAAGAAGTTATGTAGTTGCAGACAAGGCTGAAACAAGGACAGATGATGGACCGTCTCAAATACATGAGAAATTGTTAGACTCTAGGGAGTTATTAGAGATTTTCAAGAAGAGCTCTGACACAGAGTTGTGTTATTGGAATATCATTGTGACAATACACTGTATTAGAGAGAAACTAGCTCCCCAGTGCAGTAGCAAAGTGTTGCTCAAGACATGCTGTATCCTGTATGAGGACTACAGTTTGAATCCCTGGCCTAGTCAGCCTGAAACGTACCAGGCAGCTTCCTGAATACCCAAGATCCATTGAGCTGGAGTTCTGGAAAGGGCTCGTGATATAGGCAGGCTTTGTGGAGGGCACTCATCTCATGTTCTTTCACATGTGCGTGCATGCACTCTATCATGAATAATGAAAGAAATTATATTAAAATGAAAAAAGAAACTGCAGTGAAGGAGACTAGTGAGAAAGTAGTTAAAATGGTTCACAGAAGGGGAGGTGACAGTGGTAATCCCAAAGAGGGGGCGGATCCTAAAAAGTATTAACTTGTGCTTGAATTCCCCCCTCTAAAATATCTGCCACGTTGCCAACTACCTTTTTCTGGACTCTTCTCATTCTGCTAACAGTTGGGATAAGTAGATCCAACTAGTGATACTAGATTTGGATGGAGCATGGGGAAGAGAAATTACTACTGACTTCTGAATCCTTGGAATAAGGATATTTCTCTTATCAAAAAAAAGCATGTTCTCTTACTTAAAAACATGTTAGCTCGAGTAAAAGGATTAGAAATGCCAGTTAGGATTCCGTCCTTATCCCATCTCCCATTAAAGAAAATATGATAGGAAAGCATTTATCCATAAAACCTGATGTGTTATTACTTGAATTCAGGTATCTTTTGTATTTTTGTTTTTATTTTGCTGCCAAGGAAAATTCTCAGGATAGCATGTATCTCCAGTATTGTAAAGTCTGTCAAGCTTACAAGGCACCACGTTCTCATCACTGCAGAAAGTGTAACAGGTATTTCTTTTTTTGCTGCTCATTGGGGGCTGAGCTATTCTACTACTGGTTCTGGGTGATATTTCTGGTTTTTTCCTTCTACCACATCAATCCTAATTTTATGCTTTGCGAGTTGGCCACTTTATAAAAAACATTGATAGAATACTTAAGTTTTCATAGTCTCCATTTTACATTTAAGTTATCAATACAAATAAGTTTCATTTTTTGTTATAAGTGAAAAGATTTTTCTGGAAAAATACAGATTTACTTCGCCTTTTGCCCTGCAACAGGAGGCTTAAAAGTTATACCTTTGGTGCGTTTCCATATATTAATAGGAATATTAATTAGCTGTGTGTGTCAGCTGTCATCTTGATGAGTTTTAGAATTGTTCTGAGTATAAATTATAAAGGAGATCCCTTTTTCTTATTACTTGACATATGTTTATACTTTACACAAATCTATTATAAATAATTTCAGATATCTGTCATAACAAGTGTGGCTTTTTTTTTTTAGAGGTTTTTGCCTAAGGGTGTGTGTCCTGGGTGCGGGAGGGAGATAGAGACAGTGAGAGGGAAAGTGAGAAATTACTCCCCCAAGGGGAATGGCCACACTGCACTCCCTTCTCCAGTTTCCTCCCAGAATCTTGGGCATGCACGCACACATGCTCAGTGTGATTTTCAAGTCATGGATCCAGGACACGAACTACAGGTCAGCCATGCGAGAGTCCAGCAGTATAACCATACCCCATCTGCTGGTCCCTATCACAGGTGTTTTAATATCAAAAACATAATTGGAAGAAAACCGAGTCACTAAAATATGTGAAATAAACTAGGATCTTTTTAATGAACAGCTGTATACACTAATTAGAAATTTGGGAAACCATTGAAGGCAGATAAAATTTGGATTGAGGCCAGGAAATTTTCTTCTAGCAACAATAAGAGATAAGAACACAATACAACTTTGCTTATTCTATC